GCAAGTACCCGATCCGAGTTGGCAATGGGCTTGGCCGGAATGGCGTATCAACTATGACGACCAGATCGAGATCGACGGCGACGGCTGGGAATACTCATTCATGTTCGCTAAGAAATTTTCATGGCATAGACCAAAATGGTACAATTCGTTTGTCCGGAGAAGAGCATGGATAAGAAAACGGATCAAAACTCCTATCTCGTCCCAACCGACGTTTGAGCCTCCCATGAATCAAGCATACTTCTCCGTATTGCCCAAGAAAAGAGATCCGAGTCCGTTTGGAGCCGCGAGCGATCTGGAGAGAGCCAGCGTGGACAGGCAATCACGGATATCTCGAGGCAATTCTCGAACGTCCCGGGACGGATCAAGGGGGCGCCAAGAGGATAACCCATATTATCTAAAAGTCGAGACCACCGAGAGCTTGATGGCAGTACTCGGCCAATCACGGATTGACCGCGAGAAGCTTGAGGCTATCGAAAATTACATAAACAACTGCACGGATGATTTGCTGCATCTGCAGGATTACATGCATGAGATCATGTCCCTGTTCGTCTTCCAGGCCTCTCGAAAGACACTCTTGGCACGGCTTACACAGTTGCATGATGATGTGACAGGCGGAGCGGGCAAGGGAAAATCCGCGGCAACACCCAAGGCTGAAAATCTGGCAGCGGCTATCAAACATGCCGACGAGGAAGTCCGCAGGTTGGAATATTGGAGCGATATCAAAGGAATGACCGAGAGCGGAGAGGCGGCTCGCGCTGTGGATTATCAGACAGGATGGAACTCAGGTTGGCAAGGGTTGGATAAGAGCGGCCCCAAAGGCATCGACGGAGGCCAACTTCCGAGCTAGCAGCCTCTGAAGTGCACGTCGGGGCGGTCTGTGTAAGGGTTATGGAAGCATGGATGCTTTTTCTATCCTTCTTTCCTTTTTCTTTTGTATTACTTTGTTTTAGGGATATGCCCATCAATCGGAAGTCGAGCTAATCAGCGGACAGCATAGATGATAATGTAATGCGCATAGGTACGTGGTATTCTAGATTGTATCGATAATCTCAACCAAAGATGCTGACGGATAGGCCAGCAGAGACCGCCCCGGTCCAGAACGTTGCATTGCGTTGCGTGACGAGAAATTTTTGATTTTCGCGTCGTATTCGGTCAGCCGCAATAATACAGCCCAAGATAAGCATTGCTTAGCTCAGGCAATGTGTGCGGCTCAGTCCTGGCACCGCCCTCATAGATGCCCATTCGATACGCCGGGCGGCAGATGCAGTCAATCTCGAAAAGCGCGTTTTCATGAGGTGGCTCTCGCTTTTGATTCCGGTAGGAGTCCCGCCAGAAGTAAGCCCCCTGTTCCACGTAGCGGGACTCATTGGATATACAGGGAGGCTATTCTCGACGATATTCTAGCTTGCGGGCCGGTATGTAGATGTCGCACCGCGTCTTATCAATATATATTAGCACAACATGGATTACGTACATGCCCTACACGTGCCCGATATTCAGCTCTCTATGATCAGTAGAGGGCGCAGTGTACCATGTTCGGTCGAATCAAGTTCGGGCTTCCTCCTCCCTCAGGTCCCCCGTTAATTCCGGTTGCTTCAGTGCTGTTGTTGCGTGGGAAAATCGAGGCGCTTATGACTCCATGGTTCCTCGAGTCAGGCATTTACTGATCAGTCCACACGGACATCACCTTCTGACGCCTACTCGTATGATGGGAATCATAGTTGGAAACATGTCCGAGACGATGGCTGCCTGTGTTCATATATACGGGCATATCTGCATCCCCGGCTCATGTTATCGCACTCTGACCTTCGGAGCGACAACTCACGCCGAAGTGACAGCGTGAGTTGTGCTACACACCGTCTGGCGGACGCGTGAAGATACGAGAGGGTTCCCTGTGGATATCGTGGATCCATGCTCCCGAGCCTCCCACGGCCTTGTCCGCGGTTTGAGCCTGTAGATAAACGGGAGCCGCCTGCTGTTTCTCGCTTAGGGGCCGGGGACATATCCTATCATCCCCATCGGCAGGCTTTCCGGGTTTCTTCGATAAGGGGGGCTTCCGGGTTGGGCTGTTCTGGTATCTTATTTTTGCTTATATCGGATCTTGGGTCTCCTGTCTCCTTGCGCTGCTTCATGATGCTTGCCTTGCGGTATTGATTTTCACTATGGGTGCGCCGGTGAAAGCAGGAGGTAAATACACAGGGCTCTTAGCTGCGGAGCCGTTCCCTTTCCGTACTTGCTCGCCTGGGAGACATGAACGGAAAAGCGGTGGTGAGGGCCAAACTAGGGAGGCTCAGGCCATGGCAGCCATCAAGAAACCTTGGGCTGACCAGCCCTGGCCACTAATCGACATGCCATTGATCCATCATGTGCGTCTATTCATTATTACAGTTTTCTCGTCAAGATTTGGGAGAATCATATAGGAAAGGACCACCCTGAACGTTTTTCCTCAAGCTCTCCAGTATCATAGCACTATTCAGTCAAGCCACCCCCTTTATCACCTCCAAGCCTCAACGCCAAGAGTATCGGATTCCAGAAGACAAGGTATACGGCAGCCAATAGAGAGCTAATCATAGCATTCCCATAGACATCACACCCAGCCCTGAACATCGCCAACCAGATGGCGCACATCCACAACGCTATGATACGCGGCCTCAACGCGATATACCTACAAGCGCCACACGTCCGGCAAACACAAGATATCACGGACCTCTTGTTCCTGACGCAGAGCTGGAGTGCCTGGTTGCTCGACCACCACGACCTGAAAGAAGGGACGATGTTCCCCGGGTTCGAGGCCGCCTTGGGCGTGCCGGCAGGCACGCTGACGTTACCTCGAAAAAGGAGCCCACGCGCACCGTCTTCTCATTCAGACGGGAGAACACCGACGGCAATAAAGAAGCGAAACGGTAACGAGAAGGGTGTTTACAAAAGGGGTGAAGCGGAAGAAGGGACAGTTTCCTCTTTGTTATACCGCGTCTATTCATATGCCTCGACCACCCATAAGGATCCGCATAAGTACGACGCAGCGGTATTAGAAGCACTTCTAGTTTCCCTTGCAGATTCGCTTGTGCCGCATCTTACGGCGCAGATAGGGCTTCTCGCCTCGATGCGGGAGATGTGCTTCGATGCCCCGGCTGGTATTACACCGCTTGCGCGACGGGAGGTTCCAGCTCCGCTTCCTGTGCCTATGGTTACTATCACTAGAACGCCTTCTCATACGTCCTCTACGCCGGCGCTTTCGTCCCCGTCTCTGTTACCTTCATCGGCTTCTACCGAGTCTGGATCTACGCCTTCACCGCCGCGGGTGACGTTTTCTCTATTCCCGTCGACTCGACCGGCCAGCAAGAGCAGAACAACCAGTCCCAACGCTAGCACTAACACCGGCATCAGCCCCAGCGCCAAACTCACCACCGAAGAAAAACGCAACCAGCACAAGGGCAACCACAATCCAAAACCAAGAGACACGAGCACGGGAATGATAGACAAGCACAAACAACCAATACACCCCCACCAAACCTCCCTCCAAGAAGCAACCACCCGAGCAGCGACCCTATCGAAAATCTACCTAGCAGCCGAGGCGCAAGCAACAGCGTCCGCGGACAGATTCGTCGTCCCGCCCATGATCGTCCGGCTGCGGGACGTCACGTTCTCAAGTCCCGTCTGCGGATCGTCCTCTGCGTCTTTATCCTCGCGGAGCGGGCGGGGTAGGGGGAAAGCCAAGACCAGGAGCGGAAGCGGAAGCGGGAACGGAAATGGAAGCGTGGGAGAATGGCCCTGGCTATCGGTTCCCGCCGTGCACGCTATTGCTGATCGTCTTTCGGGGGAGCATGAGGGGGCTTGGCGGTTTTTGCCTTGTGATGTTTGGGGGCGGCCGAGGGAATTGCGGTTTTTGGGGTAGGGGGTGGGTTTGGTTTTCCTGTTTTTTGGGAGGTGTATGGTTGGGAGGTCTCTGGCTTTTGGGATTGGGGTTTGGTTGGGTTTTGGTTGTTGGTAGTGGTTATAGAGACAGGCAGTCGCTTTACGCGGGTATCTGAAAGACGGAGACGCTGCTGGCGTTCCTGGAAGTTGGTTCTGGGAATACCTTGGTTACCTGGGGAGGTCGTATACTGGTGTGTCTATAAATTTAAGACTTAAACGCAGTGATGACGAGCTCGCTTTCTGGAAATGGACTCCATTGCGGTGTTGGTATCTTTGGTATGTGGTCGGATCATCTCACATATGGAATACCTAGATACCAGCTCGGAGCTAGAGCTTCTACTTGACTCCCGAGTATGAGAACTTACCGTGTGTGTCTTTTGCCTGCTCACCCAAGGCCTGAGACTTACAACATAATACTTAGCACCTAAGGATATCCTGCCTTCAATATTGGCGTTGCGGTCGCTGGTGCCAGTGCGCCTGTAGGATGTGGGACGTTCCGGGCGGCAACTCCTCACCCCATCTACGGATTGAATTCATGAAACCAGATACCAAATAGAGACCGCTTCTTCGCCCCTCGGCCAAAAAGCGGTGTGCACCAGAAAGCGAAGGCGAAGAAGGCGAAGAAGGCGAAAGGATTCCGTCTACGACTAGGTAGGTAAAGCCTTATGTGTATACTTACATCGTGCATGCGCGAGGTCACCTTCGCTCGATTGTTCTCTGAGGCGAGGGCCGAGAGATGTGGAGGCTGGCCTTGATGTCTGAATTCGGAAGATCGAGGGAAGGAGATTCGGTTTTGGCTGGGTTACTCTAGTCAGATGCGCGCCTTCGTAGGAGACGATTGGGTGGGTGGGTGGAAGAAAAACTGGTGCGTTGCGAGGGCTGTCCCGAGTTGGCATTCGCCTTTTACCAAGTAAACTTTGGTGACGGCACGCGATTGGGTCTTATGTTCGATAAAAAAATAATCAATTCGTATAGATTATTCCATAGCCCAGTAAAAAGTAATTTTTAAAAAACAAAAACAAAGTGAAGAAAAAAAGATCAATTGGTTGCTACTCCCAGTCGAAGCCGGGAGGCATCAGGAATTGAGCCCGATGCGGGGGTCGAACCTGATTCTTCATGTCAGTATATCTTGTGCGTCGATTTGCTTCGACGGAAGGCCAACTTACCCGCAACCTTGAGATTAAGAGTCTCACGCTCTACCGATTGAGCTAACCGGGCGGTGCTTGTGATTTTCGCCTTCCGCAATCATCCGTTATGGACTCCGTTTGGGACGCCGGCGCTGTTAGGGCGGGCTAGTATGGTGAAAATTTAGGGAGAAAGGTACGGAATATAGTGTAGAGAGCAAGGGAAGTGTGAATTTCTTTTCTTGCTCTCGCTATCGATTGGTTCTTCAAGATACGTAGGGTATGTTGTGAATTTGTTGTGGCTTAACCGCCGAAAACCTCGAATAAATCTTGACGCTCAGAGCACGAGGATCGAAGTGACTTCTCCTTTCCACACGACCTCTGGTGTTAATATCCATGCGTGAATAATCCAATTACATGATTCTTCCGAGAACCTACCAAACCCCAAGCTCAATCCTAGAAGAGCACATGAAGGCGACGCCCTATATCATATGAGAATTTTCTGAAGATAGCAGAGCTATCTATATTCAATCAATCAAGGCCATTACATTCTCACTCTCAAGTCCATATTGGATGAGACTAAACCCTTATAACGCAGCACTTGTGCCCTTTCCCGGAGTCCCGGAATGCCAACACAATGACAACGTGTGTCTAAGACATTATTGCCTAGCCATGGTCGACTCAAGAATTCGTCAATCCGGTAGGCCCTTACTACTTAGTACTGGGAGACTAAGGCCCACTTTACGCGACAACGCTGGGTAATGGGCGCGTAGACAGGGGAGAATATGAGACATTCCACGAACGACTAAAGAAAACGCGTGCCAGTCGCGCTGGAGACAGCCCTCGTGCGGTTTATCACCACATCGCATTGCTGCGAGCCGCATCGTAGGGCCCTACATGGCATCTACGTCATGGGAAGGGATGGAAGACAGGCCATCGCGCGCGGGCGCCGTTGGCAGCCGTGTCGGCGGAACTTCTCCTTTACGCGTCAAGCTTCCTTTCGCGACAAATCTTCCTCGGATAGCTTCAGTTCAAGCTATACACTCAGGAAAACAGGAAATCCAGAATCAGCTTGCGTGCAGAAGACTGAAGACAGCATCCACAACGCACAAGCACGTATTGAAGACTTGCATCACAGGCTTCAAACCTTTCGGTTAAAGCACGCCGGCCCAGTCCGCGGTTTTAGGGCCAGAGTTGATCGCGACCATCGCTGTAATCACCGCGGCCTTCTTTCACGATGACGATGTCGCCGCGGCGGGCAAGTTCCCGTCGCAGAAGCGCCATCACCAGTTCCTTCCAACACTTACGCCCATTGACTGGCTTTCAGCTCATCACCTTACTCTTAAGCATCAGCAGACCCGTAGCCAGCACGCCAATTTCATACTTCCCTTTGAATTCACAGCTTCCGCCGGTGGCGCGCGCCTCGAAACCATTCTCGTTTGCTTTCTCGCCCCTGACGTTCTCGTCCGACTCTGAGATGAGCTACTCGCTAGCTGAGGGTTCACCATCCTGGCTCTCGCTCGATAGCGCGTCCCGAACACTGTCGGGTACTCCGAACGACGACTCGATACCGCCAGGCCAAATGCTAGTTGGTATAGACATTGCGCTTGTGGCTCGCGATCAAACGGGCTCGACGTCTGCGAATGCAACACTCGTTGTGTCGCGGAGCCCAGGTCCTATCGTGAGGATCCCACTCGAGAACCAAATCGAGAAATTCGGCGCGTATTCTGCGCCTGCGTCCATGTTACTCCATCCGTCGACCGAGTTCCGGTTCGAGTTTGATCCGAACACATTCGGCGTCGACACTGTAGAAAACGGAAACACCCGGCGCGAGACCTTGAGCGAAACGAGGAGGAACGATCAGACTACAAAAAGAGATGAAGATGGAAGCGTGAGCCCACCAGCGCAGCAGCTGAACTACTACGCTGTATCGGGCAACAATGCACCTCTCCCTTCATGGATCACATTCGACGCATCAAAGCTCGCTTTTGCAGGCAAAACGCCATCCTTCGAGTCCCTCGTGCAACCGCCTCAGACGTTCGATTTCCAGCTAGTAGCCTCGGATGTGCTCGGATTCTCATCAGCCGCAATCGACTTCTCAATTGTGGTTGGCACACACGAACTCAGCGCCAAGAAGCCTGTCATAGAATTGAATGCGACGCGCGACAAAGAATTCGAGTACACAGATCTGCCCAATATCTTAGAAATCGATAAGCGACCGCTGACAAACGATGATATTTCTTCCATCACGGCTGATGGCCTACCTGCGTGGCTCTCATTTGACCAGAAATCGTGGAAGGTCAGCGGGAAGCCGGGTGCCGAAGAACCGGAGACTAACGTCACCATTGCTATCACGGACAAGTTTTACGATACTTTGAATGTGACATTGGTGATAAAATTTAACACAAAGATCTTCTTGTCCGATCTCCCTGATATCAACGTATTGGCGGGAGATGACCTCTCGTTTGATATCAAGGAATTCCTCCTCGACCCAACAGACACGACGATTAAAGCAGGTGTCCAACCCGGCGACTCCTGGATTAAATTTGACGACTCGGCCATGGTTCTCTCCGGGAAAGCGCCCGAGTCCCCAGACCCTGACTTCGCAAACGATATCCAGATTGTTTTCGACGCCACACAGGGGCGGACAAAAGACAAGGAGAGAAAGCATCTGAAGATTCACGTGGGCACATCGACTAACACGACCGGCCTCTCCGAGCCCACACAAACATCCAAGCCAAGCAAGGCAGACAACTGGGGTAAGGATTTGTATTGGCTGCTTATCATCCCGGCCCTACTCATCCCCATCGGCATCTTTCTAGGGGTAGTCCTGATCCGTAGACGGCGGCGGCAGCCGAAGAAATTGGATTTTTCACAGGTCTCCGGTCCCGTGCCTGGCAGTTTCGTGGCAAACGGCGCCATGGGCGGCTCATCAGAACCACCAGACGGAATGCAACAGATGCAGACTACGGGACAACCGGCACCTTTCATGAGACCGGATACTAGGGGGCCAGCATCATCGAATCCGACTGCAATGGTTGGCCACGCCATATCACATGCCACGGCCGTGCCTCCCGGCTCCAATGGAGCAGCGCCCGCCGCCGCGACAAAAAATAACCGGTTGACGGCTCGACTGCGGAAGCCGTCCCCAGCGGTCACCGATGAACTTAGTTTGCTCTCCGATACAAGCCTCGGCGACGAAATACACATCGCCGAGGAGCACCTTTACTTAAAGCCAGGGGCGCTAAGGGGACATCAATACGAGCATAAGATCGGGTTAGAAATCCCAACCGTTGCCGAACCGCTCAGCATACAACTAACGCCGGAACTCGCCTACACGGGAAACAAGAAGAAGTACGACTTCGTCTCCGATGACGAGATGACGCCGGCCGTCAGCTACGCCGAGCGGCGACGATCCAACCACCAGCAAAACCCGGCGAACGGCCCCCGCAACGCGCAGCGGAATTCCAAGGCCTGGAAACGAACGAGCGCGTCCAAGACGGAGGACCCGAAGCGCAACAGCCAGAACAGCTCATCCACCGACGTGACGACCCGCACGAGCATCCTCATATCCGGGATCACGGAAGAAGCGACGACGGCGAGAACGAGCAGTATCGTCGCGAAGCCGACGGTGGTGCACATACCCAGCAGGCCGGGCGAGGCGCGCCAGCTAAGCAGGCGGACGGATGACTCGTCGACGTTCTTCGGGGGCCGGTCGCTGACGAAATCGGAGCGGAACTTCAGGCTGGCGAAGACCCCGGCGCCGACGACGCCTTATCCGGACCCCGGGCCGCAGCCGGGGTTCGTGAAAGAACACGCGGCGCGGGGCAGCGACTCGTCGTGGGACCGCATCGCGAGGAATTCGCTGGGCATCGCGTACAGGGACCTCGTTCAGGCGAAATACCCCGCGGCGCAGGACCCCGGGATCGGCGTCGCGATCGGCGGGGAGTGGAAGACGCAGCGGACTAGCGAGGAGCTGATGGCGCCGGAGCGGTGGCCCATACCGGATGGCATGGCGGCGGGGGGTGAACGGCAGAGCTGGCGCGAGGACGGGTTGCGGGTTAATCGTGTGCGGGAACAGAAGGGGGTTGATGAGGCGTCGCGGGCTGCTGGTCGGTTGCCGCTTGCGGATCGCTCGAATGAGACGCGGGATATGAGGAAGACGTTCTCTAAGCGCAGTATGCGGACTTTGCGTAGTAATAAGAGCGTGCGCAGCGCTTGGCCGGACGATGAGGATGATGAGGATGCCTGGGAGGATATCGTGCCGTCTGAGTCGGTGTCTGGGGGATGGGAGGGGGATGAGAGCGATAGGAGCTTTTCGGCTTATATCTGACGAGGGTTTGGGATTACTGGGTGGACCGCGCGTGGTCCTGGGTGGTTGTAATGTTTGGTTCCTTTTTTGTCTTGGTTCCTGGGTAGCGAGCATGAGGCTTCTCGATAATTATACGGTACCATAGACTTCTTCCTGGATGTGCTGCTTTGTGTCCTGTTTTGTCGTGCCTGTTTGGATGTGCTGTGATGGCCTGATCGGGACTTACACGGGGTTGCTGGTGCGTTGCGCGTCGCGAGCGTCGTCGTGCTAAGATATTACCTACCAGTTACCTACGAAGTATCTACTAAACCTACCTAGCAGGGCCTCCGAGTGGAGAAGACGGCCATCGTTCTCTTTCGATCCCAACACTCGATATGGAATAGTCCATCTCGGAGAGATTGAGGAAGGGGTTTGATTTACGTGGGGCTATTTAACCTGGGTAGGCAGCTGTAGGCGATCGATTGCCATAACCAGGGAAGATCGCCTTGATGTCATCGCAGGCGGAAATGGCCTGTGTTGAAGGGCTATACGGAGGGTTAATTAGGTAGATATGCTGGTACCTAATCAGGACATCAAGGTGGTGTGGATGTTTTCGGCTACATCCCCGTCCTACATATCTGGATATTGCCTACATGGACATAGCACGTCCTATCTAGATACCTTAGGTATGTGGAGTGAGTAGTATGACTAGCTAGCTGTCTCGCGGGACACCTGAACAGTTTAGAAACTTTAGAGACCTTGGCGATCATAGATCTTGTAGAGATCGTGGTTGGTCTAGGTGG